TGACGTGTTAATGCGATGCATATATTGAATTTCGGGCGCTCCAAGGGTATCTTGCAATGTCAAAATCTTCTGAGGCTGTGGATACTAGGTTACTACCGCTAGATACCATGGTGGGCCCTATGCTTTGCTCTTCGTTTATCTGTTGGGCTTTTAAAGCTGTATCTGGATCTCGTGCCCGACTACGGTGAAACGGTTGAGTCGGATCAACGTCCTGGAACGGCGCAAGATTGACGCGAATGTAACAGGTTTGAGATCACGTAATGCAGTAGCACACAAACAAAATCACTGTTCTCCAGTTCTGAACATAAAATCGTCTCAGGATGTGATGACGCATAACGTCTACGTTTTCACCGGCAATTTGCACACTTTTATCATGCATCCGCTGTAGCTCCCGACCGTGGTGATAACTTACCCTATTTTATGGCATGCGTTCTACAAGAACGAAGCCATCCCTCCGTTGTCAACATATTTCACGGGTTGTCGGACAACCTTTAAGGCTTTCTGCAAGGACATATTAGTGTGGCGCTTTCTGTCCCCCGCGTGCAATACAGTGGTTGTAACACATGACACTATATTCCTTCGCCTGTACGTGCCCTTCTGCTAGTCGTCCCTCCTAGGTTTAGTTCCCGGCTTATTGAATCCGTCCCGGGTCCACAGCCGTTAGTGTTGGGATGAATTTGAGCATCCGATGTGCAGTTGCTAAAGCGGGTGATTATGGGGGCAGCTGTTGTATTTCACGCTCGATATCTGTGAACGGCGAAGGCTGCATTCAGAATGTCCCCGGGCATGGCATCTCAAGACCGATACAATGGTATCAACTCTTCTTTACATCAGTACTCCATTCAGATGTCACGAAAAACACACCCGTAACTGGCACATGCACACAAAATGCTCTAACCAAGACCGTAGTGACAGATACATATATTGCGTCCAGTTTGAAGAACACGCTTTAAAACTTCGATGTGCTTTCTCCCCTGGTTTCATTCATGGGCCTGTGTTCGACTCATGTGTACTGGAACCATATATCGCACGGTGCCATGACCATATGCCGCACGGCACCATGGCCATATACCGCACGGCGCCATGACTATATACCGTGCGGCACTATGACCATATACCGCACGGCGCCATGACTATTACCGCACGGCGCCATGACTATACCGCGCGGCACTATGACCATATACCGCACGGCGCCATGACCATATACCGCACGGCGCCATGACTATATACCGCACGGCACCATGACCATATACCGCACGGCACTATGGCCATACACTTTATACCGCACGGCGCCATGACCATATGCCGCACGGCACCATGGCCATATACCGCACGGCGCCATGACTATATACCGTGCGGCACTATGACCATATACCGCACGGCACTATGGCCATATACCGCACGGCGCCATGACCATATACCGCACGGCGCCATGACTATATACCGCGCGGCACTATGACCATATACCGCACGGCACTATGACCATATACCGCACGGCGCCATGACTATATACCGCACGGCGCCATGACTATATACCGCGCGGCACTATGACCATATACCGCACGGCACTATGGCCATATACCGCACGGCGCCATGACTATATACCGCACGGCGCCATGACTATATACCGCACGGCACCATGACTTTATACCGCACGGCACCATGACCATATACCGCACGGCACTATGGCCATATACTTTTATACCGCACGGCACCATGGCCATATACCGCACGGCGCCATGGCCTACGAAGTTTATATTTATCGACAAATCGTTCGTCAACACGCACATGGGTGGGGATCAAATTGTCCCCCCCCCCCCCCCACCTCACCGAAGGTTTTCCCGGAATGACATCCGAACGGCAGAGCATAACCACGTCAAATTTTGCATAGCTATAGATGATTGAATAGCGGATCGGCTGAAATCAAAAATTTATATTTACCTTGCCAGGTCGCGGATCGATGACAGGTCAAAGTCAGGTCATCTTTTTAGCGAGGGCAATTTCTAGGGAATCGTTCAACCTAATCCAACAACGGAGAGCTAGACGAAACCATATATCTCTGAGATGCTTTTTTAGGCGACACAACAATGGCCTGAACAAATTACGTTGACCTAAGGCCAGGTATGGAGGTCCGACCAAGGTCAAAACCAGCCTGCTTTATTTCTCTAGCGCTTGCTTTATGGGGTAGTTCCCGGTGCCCATTTCGAATTTATTGAGGGACCGCATTATGCAACTTTCATAGACGCCTCAGAGGTCAGAACAGGTCACTGACCCAGAATGACCCAGGTAACATTTTGTTTTTAGGAACATGCTGACCAGCGTAATCTTTGTCGCTTATCCAGATGCAAAACATAAAGGGCTCTTGTATGATTGTGGTCGCCATGACCCTCAAAAGATTGAACAAAGTCACTGACCTCGATGAGCATGTGACCTTTTGCTTAGAACAGTTATCTAGGTTCTAGGAGCCCTTTTTAGGCCAGCCTGGAATTGGACCTTGGTTGACCCGAAAGTCGTAACCTATGAACCTCAAAATTTGACATAAGTGAATTCACGTATAGGTCAACACATGCTGTGGATTTGGTGTCTCTTGCTCTCTTGGTTCCTGAGATCTTAGGGGCGCGGGGGAATTGACCCCGCCGCCCGAGCGAACGGTACCCAACCAGCCACCCGGGCGCGTTTTAAATTACTTTTGACTTAAGTTGGCAAGTATTTCGAATGGGTGGTTTTCAGAATTCTTCGTGTTTGCGTGTCCGGGATATATTTACACATATGGTGCGCTCCTTGCCTCGGATTCGTGCATCTAGACTGAAAGCATCTGCTCCATACTAGGCGGTTTGATAACGGTCGGGTCTGGATTACCACCGACCAGAGGTGTGGCTTTGTATACTTTGATGGAAACCTGAACCCCTCTCCCTAATGCTGGCCTGAGTCTCCTCAATGCTCTTCGGAGGCCCTCTTCCCCAATGCGTATGGGCAAAGCAGGGAATACTGAGCAAAGGACATGCAGCAATTGTCTGAACCGCTGGCACACTAGGTCCTAGGGGCATCACTTTCCTTATCATCATCACATATCACATCATCACTATCACACCAGTTTCAAATCGGAACTTATTTATCAACATCAAAACAATTTTGAAGCCGACGAAATGAATTGTTTGATTTAGTTTAGATATCAGGGACGCAAATCAAAGAGGCTAACATCAGGGGAAAATTCCTGATTTCAGAGTAAGTTAGATCAACTTTCCTGGTTCAACCCCAGCCGATGTTGTAAGGTTGTACTTCTGCCACCGATATTTCCTCCAAGGCCTGTAATGTTTGCTTACCATTGCTTCTTTGTGCAATTGTCTTTAATTAACCATATACTGCTCACTGTTACCTCTGGTTTCTCAGACCCGCAACTTAACCACTGCTTAATTAGTACCCAACGACGCCTTCAGTTGTGCGGGATGCCAGTTGGCACCTTTCGCACGGTTGACGAATCACTGAATGCGTGGGCTCGTTAGCGCTTCACGCTCTAGCATCTGCAAGCATTCTGGATCATTGAGCTGTAAGTGCGGACTGACTACTAACCTGAAAAATCCGGTCTCATGTTTTCTTTGCGCTGCCCTTCACTGGTGGCTGCTCGATCAAACAAAAAGGCTTCACAAATGTTGTAGGCAGCAAGGGCACTCTCATGATAAGGAGGTTCACTTAAACCCGATCACTTTCTAACGAGATGCACGTGTGCGATCTTTCGTCGGTTCCACGGCCGGCGTGGGTAGCGCAGCCGTTGCACCAATCCTCGTCCCACGGCTTCCGTCGAGCTGCCAAGCTAGTCGTCACGGACGGTGCGGAGAGGCGCCAAAAGCGTGATTTGACCTCGCTTGGTGCGACGTTGCCACCGGTCAAGCGTGCGACTTAATGGATGAGGTGAAGCTGTAGCCGGCGTGCGGGCTTCCAACCAGCTTTGAAGTTCGGTTAACGCTCGCAAAGTGCAGAGTCGTCAGGCGGTAATCCCCCCCCCCCCCCTATCCTGCGCTGCTATCGACATCGAGACGGCCGCGGCTTGCGAGGACGTGGTTGCCGAACAGCCATCACCGAAATGAAAGCGTACTTTTGCATGATTTCATGGACGGTTTTTGGCCGTCCAAAATAAGTATATGAGTAAAAGTATTCGCATTACGTCATGTTAAGAGCGTTGGTAACACCGCGGTATGTTGCGCGTCTGGGAAACAAAGTCCCAGCGTTGCCGGTAGGGCGGTGGTGACCCTGCGCGTCTGGAAAAGTAGGCATTCGAAATTGGATGCCGCGTGTTGCCGGCCCTGCCTGCCAGGATTAGAGACATGCGACACTATATGGCCTCAGCAGTGGACTGCGTCGTGAAAGCCCCAAGACAGTGACATATGACATGTCGACGAAATACCCCCACAGCGATGCAGTATGGCCACGGTAGCGTGGTGTTTATGCTTTAGTTCATCAAAATTCCGATAATTTTAGCAATTGCACGAAGCTTTGATGACAGAACATTGTTCCACGGCCGACAACAAGCTCTGCTGAGCGCCGAACGCGTCGGCTGCGCGCTGTTCTTGCCTCTCACTCCACCTTAGAGGAATCCAGGAGCTGAGCATTTAATCTATTAACGAGATTTCAAGGCCAGCTCGACGTGACGAATAAATGTCCCTGTTGCGATGTGACCTTTCACGCAGAAACGAAACAATAGCAGCGATATTTAAACTATTTCCCCTGTCCCAAGCAGTACATGTCCTTGAAGTTATTTCTGTGTAATTACCGGCCATGACCATGGAACAGTACGTCCACAGCTTCAGATGTCTCCTATTCGACTTGTCTGCTATGTGCACGTGTGCGTCTACTATGCCCGCGAGCATGTTAACCATGCGCGCGAGCCTGTCTACCATGCGTATGAGCGTGTCTACCATCCGCGCGAGCGCAAGTACGTGTCACCAAATCTCTGCCTGCTTCAGCCGTTCGCCATGTCCATGGAGGGCTACCTGGCGCAGGAGCCGAACTTCGCCACCCGTGTGGTGCACTGCGGCATGGCCGAGGAGGGGCACCCGCACGGCGCCATCGTCCCGCCCATCACACTCTCCTCCACTTACAAGATGAAGCCCAACGGCGAGCGGGGAGTAAGTTCATCGGCGCCGGCGGAGGCTCTGGATGGGCCGACGAGTCAGGCGGAGACCAGAGATGGGCCCATGCAGCATAGCGGAGGCTCTGATAGGCCCATGAGTCAGGCGGAGGCCAGAGATGGGCCCATTCAGCCTAGCGGGGGGTCTGATAGGCCCATGAGTCAGGCGGAGACCGGAGATGGGCCCATGCAGCCCGGCGGAGATTGGGGAGTGGAGATAGGGTCCATCCATGGGGTGGAGGGAAAACAAGTAGTGAGCTCACTGAAACCGGTGTGGACTGGGGGTGGGTGCTAGAGGACTGACTGATGGGTGCTAGATGACTTCTCGGCTTGGGTAAGCCCGTGGGTGCCGATATGAAATGGCCAACGGGATGGCTTGGTAGCACATGTTGGGAAAATGACGGGTATGAGTGAGACGGTAATGAAATATCGGGCAGGTAGGTACTTCAGGAACTACTTACTACACACCGGCAACAACCGCACTTATTTCGGTAATAATTAGCTTCATTCAAACTAATTTTGCAATGATTACGGCAGTGGGGTAAGTTTTGGCCTTAATTTTCTGAAACTGTTCTATAGTTTGAATAAAAGTGCTGCAAAAATGCAAACGAGCAGCTGATTAGGAACTGGCATCGGGTCAGCATGGGCACAGCCCTACGTGTCACAGATAGATTGGGTAAAGGCAGCTCGATCTGAGCAATCCTCTAATGGTGCATGGAGTGCGGTGGGGCTGGGGCTGAGTCCGTGGGGCCCGGCAGGGGCTGGGGATGAGTCCGTGGAGCCCGACAGGGGCTGGGGATGATTCCGTGGAGCCCGGCGGGGATCGAGAATGAGTTCGTGGAGCCCACTGATAACTGGTGGGTCCGTGGAGCCGGGGGGAACTGGAAAAAGTTCGTGGAGCCCGGCGGGGATTGTGAATGAGTCCGAGGAGTTGGGCGGATGATTCCGTGGAACCGCATAAAGTTGGGATGGATATATGTAATCTGGTAGGGTCTGAGGATGAGTTGACAGGGCTAGGTTTGGAAATGGGGGTCGCAGGATATTGGAGACAAGGCGTTAGTGCAGATGGAGAAGAACGCAAGCTGGGAACACCCAGCACAGAACGTCCAAAGAACAGGTAGGGGGGGGGAGGGGAGAGGACTGGCGACAGGCGCAACTGTAGCCGGACTGGCAAAGCATGTGGAGCTGTGGTGCCGAACTGTACAGACCAGGAACAGCTGGACCGATGTGATGAAATGTGTAGCATTCAAAACCAAACTGATACAGCCTGAGGAGCAGTGGAGCTGACCTAACAAATCCCTGGGAACCGTGGGGCCGGGCACAGACTGGTGTTGACATATATGGGTCAAGAAACTGCTCTATGTGCGGTGGTGTGCCTTGCCGGTCGCCTACATATAAAATGTCGCGTTTTGCAATATATGTCATGCCATTTAACTTCGCGATGCAGTGCAATGCTTCTTTTCATTGTTTCTGTCATGTGCAGAGATGCGTGGGACTAGACGCCGTGATCACCGCACTCTCGTGTTATCTACTCCGGATTCAGTTCTCACGGTACGTTAAACCGACAAGAAATTCGTCGCTTATAGGGCAGAGGTACTAATGTGCATTGTTCTTGACCGCAAAAATTTATTTCCAGGAGTTCAAATACTCGAGAGTAGGAAACCCCTCCAGGAAGGCGCTAGAAGATTCCGTAGCAATGCTGGAAGACGCAAGATACGGTCAGAACATGCTTCCCTTACGATGAGCATTAAGCGAAGGGCGTTGGCGTTTTTGAGATACATCGAAACTATTGCATCATTTCCAGAAGAACATATATATGCATATATATATATATATATATATATATATATATATGCATATGTATATATATATGTATATATATGTATATATATATATATATATATATATATTTATATATATATATATGGATTTATATGTATATGTATGCAGTGGCTCATAGAACACTACCTTCACATTTGTATTGATAACAAATATGTAAAAGCATGAATAGCCTTATTCCTCAAAGAAAGCCACGAGAATGGGCAGATAGATGCATTGATATTTTGGCTACATGCCCCTTTCGAAACGGATACTAGTAGAAAATTCAAAATTGCCTCCCAGTTCTCCTCGATTTTTTTTTCAAACAGCGGGCCACAGTTCTTACGCGTCACCAACATGTTGGGGATTGAACAAGAAGCACGTGCCAGCCATTAAGCCATTACTACAATACAGTGTATATCTAAGTAAGAATTCAAACACGCGAAAAATGCGTGTACATACAAACGAGTTTCAGTAAACGTGCGTCACGCACCAGTCACACATGCAAGTGATTTTAACTTCCCACCTGTTGGACGCGGTTAAGCTGTGTGCCGTATGTTGCGTGTTGTCAGTTGCATGGTGCTTAACCGTGCTCACTCATGATCAGACGTACAGCCAGAAACATCGAGTATGGAGAGATGTAAAAGCTACGAGTATTGAGTGGTTGACCGGTACATGTTGCTAAGCGTTGTTTAACCAGGATGGGAAATCGGGCTGAATACACCAATTTACCTTCGTGGCCTTGGCACCGATGTTTTCAGAGATTCTGGGAGTTTGAATGTGTCAAGATAAACGTTGGTCCTCTGGCGACATCTTGACATACTAAGTTCTCTATAATCTTCCCATCGCTTGTCGCACTACGCCAAAAAGGCATCTCCCATCTTTCTGGACCAACCATCGGGCAATATTATAACAATACGAGTGGGACTAAAGAACGTCAGTTGGCCTGTATATGTAAGACATTTGGAGGTAGCGAACAACGGAGGGTCTCGTAACGACCGTTCAGATAATTAGAGTCCTTTAAGTCACAGTGTTGGTAAAATAGATTGAAAGCACACTCCACACGATCCCACCACTGGCACTGTGCCCCAGGACGACCAACGGGGTCCCGGGAGGTCGCAGACCTACTTCCTGACCTATGCGGAATGTTGGCGACTTTCAGCATAAGATCTCTGAAGTGAAACGCCAAATAAGTGGGAAGCTCAAGGCCTTTCTCGCTCACATCAAACATAAAGTATTGACATGAAAACTTGAAGAGCACGAATCGAAGCCGTTTCCCTAGTCTGACAACTGGTGCTCGGCTGGGGCTGCGAGCTGACGCTCAGCTGCGTGGAGAGCTGGTGGCTGGCTCGTGCTAACGGCCGCTGGTCTATGTCGAGAGCGAGACCTCAGCTCGTGCTGACAGCTGGTGCCGGCTTACACCCAGGCCTGGCCTTCGGCTCGGGTATGAGCGCCGTCAAGGCGGTCACCATGCTGCTGGGCACGGGGGACCACATCGTGGTGAGTGACGACCTGTACGGCGGCTCGACGGCTCTCTGGCGCAATCACTCGGAGCGGAGCGGCGTCACCTTCAGCTACGTGGACACCCGGCGGCCGGAGGACATCGAGGCCGCCATCACGCCCCAGACCAAGGTCAGGCGTGGGCATGTCCGGTCAGGTCTGACACTGGTGGTCCGTGGTCGCGTGGTCCATTCTGTCAGGTCAGACCTCGTTTGCTGAGGGTCGGAACGCCCGGTAGGATTTCAACTAGCCGTATCCATGTGAGATCAAGACGGTGGTTAGCGGTCTCCGGGTGAGATCAGGACGGGGATTATTTTACAACCGTGGGCGCGAAGGGTGGTATTGACAGGCATGGTGCAAACACAAACGCACAAAATACCCTCTGGAAAATATCAAGGCAAACTAGGCCTTTTTCCCAGAGATTGAAGTGTCGCACTTATGTGGCGCCCCTCAAGCACCAAATGTCGCCTACTCCCCAACGTACGTAGGGCAAAAGCCGGGGGAGACGACGCTTACGTCCAAAATAATGGTTTCTTACGACATATTATTAGCCCATGTAGTACCATGAAGTAGATCACTGTTCCGTGCCAAGCGTGTCCGAACACGCGTGGTTAGCCGCCGTTGCTGCACTGCAGATGATCTACATCGAGACGCCGTCCAACCCGGCCATGAAGGTGACGGACATGCTGGCCGTGGTCGACATTTGCCGCCGACACCCGGGCACCTTCACCGTGTGCGACAACACGTTCATGTCGCCCTACTTTCAGGTGCGTCACGCTGAAAAAGAACGCCCCGCCCAAGTAAAACTAGAACTGTTAATTGCGCGTGACATACCATATTGGCAAAATATGTTGCACTATTGCGTCCTTGCGGTGAAAAGAATAAGCCGCGGCAGACAGATTCACCGTTGTCGGTGACATCCTGAAGACTCATATGCTTGCCTACCAATAGATTTGAAATGCGGTGTCTATACGCATGGCTTAATACGCTTGCTCAAAGACTTGATTACTTAGGCCTGATTTTATAGCCGAAGAAGTTGATTACACAGTCGAATAATCATAGAATTGAAGAAATTACTTATTTTGCTCTCGACTGGTTTTACCATTGAAAAATAACTGACAACGTAGTGGATTAATCCACAATTGTTTGCCCGTACAACTTTCGTTTATACGTCTAAAGTCAGGGGCAGTGACCGGTCGCACTCTCTCCGTCTCCGCAGCGCCCGCTGAATTTTGGCATCGATATTGTGATCGAGTCCATCACCAAATACCTGAACGGACACTCGGATGTTGTGATGGGAGCGGTGGCAACCAACAGGGAAGACCTGTACAAGAGGCTGGCCTGCATTCAAGTCGGTGAGAAATGTGCAGTTTTAGATCCATTGCGCGGTCCACTATGCTCTCACTGAAGCTTTGATACCCCTAAATATCGCTGTGTCTTCTCCAGGAATCCCAAAGCTAAAAGAGGCACTGAGATCAACCTCATAAAAAGGCGAACTTGCTTTCAGATATTCCTTCCTTAACGGCGGCGAAACACTCCCCGACCTCGCATTTTGTCTTCCCGAACTGCGAACAATACAGCAAATCTCTCCGCCGCGCCCTGCGGGGGTTCAACACGGTCGGCATTGTTTGTCGCGGGTATCAGCCTGGTGTTCAACCCATTCGTCATCTGGCAGACAATAATGTCGCTAGACATCGGCCTTGTGCCCAGTCCGTTCGTTATCTAACTGTCACTGATGACGTCAGACATCGGCCTGGTGCCCAGTCCTTTCGACTGCTACCTGGCCTTCCGCGGCATTCGTACGCTGCACCTGCGCATGCCGCGCCACATGAGCGGTGCCCTGCGCGTGGCGCACTTCCTGGAGAGCCACCCACACGTGGAGCGCGTGCTCTACCCGGGCCTCGAGTCGCACCCACAGGTAAGCCCGAGACAAGTGAACAGATCCAAGATGACTTTGTGTTCCCTGACCTCGAGGTGATCCAAAGGAATAATGCGATGCGCATTGTACTGATTTGCATCTGATGCCTGATGTGCAGCATGATACCGCGCTACGTTTTTCGTTAACAAATTTCAATACGAATCCTTCTACCCCGCCCAAAAAGGCCTGACGCACGACATGCAAGTAAACGTGCAACAAAGCATAAGCTGATTTCGTTCCGCCATGCCCGATGCTGAGTTGCCCCCAGCGAGTGCAAGGCTTGCTGGCACCAGCATTACTGCGTAGTTGAGAGTAAAAACCTTGCTCTTGACATGAACGAGCACCTGGGATATCAACACCGTTACTACCAGGAGAAGCATGACCGATTGCTCGAGGGTGCTACTGGCGCCCAGTGACGCGGATCACCCTCCTGCTCCTGCCCGCCCGATGCCACGGTCAGGGAATTAGCATTCAGTGACTGCATCGGCTGCCTGACACCTGCAGTGGTTAAATGCAGTGACCGCGGCTCCTAGCACAGGGCATGCCTGCTACAGCGTAATTTAAGTTTTTGACGGGTGAACAGCACTGCAGCTGTCTTATCGCGGTCAGGTGATCATGAACGCTGAAGATTTTGCAGAGGAATTGGGACGAGGTATTGATATCGCGGATGGAAAACTGATTCAAACTTTCGTTTCCATGGGGTGTGTTGGCATGTTCTGAAGGCCTCCACGGGCAATATTTCGTATGCGTAATCCACCCGCTGCACATAGGGCTTTGTCCATACACACCCACTGCTTTCTTACTAATAAGTCGTGCTTAAGCGTTACCAGTCCTTTGCACCTTTTCACCTCTGATTCTTATTTCCAAGTATAGGAAATGTTCGAAAAAGTTAGGTCTAAATCTGCTATCTTACAGTGATGATTGTAAAAGAACTGTGAATGGAGCTAATGATGAATAAAAGAACCACACGCAATAACCTTTTGTAGTATGTCTTGTAATGTCTACCCGATATCTCGTAAATGTCGCACCCATACTCGTACCCTCAGGTTTCTCAAAACTTGTAGCCAACCCAATCCGTTGCCCATTTTATATGGGTACCCACGGGCTTACCCAGCCAACGCTAATGTGTCGCTTCTCAGCCGTTTAAGTCCGCTAGTATATTCACAGTGTTTCGCCAGATAATTCTGCCACCGTCACGTGTAAGTCAGTACTGAGCCGGACAGAGTGGTGTTTGACTTTTAGCCATAAGCGCGTCACAATCCGATCTGTCTACTTGGAGTTGTTGGGAGTCGAACCGGGGTCTTCTGATAACGGGACCAGTGCTCCACCAACTGAGCTAACCGAGAACCGTATTGCAGTTCAATGATTTAGAATATATATTAACTTTTGCCCAAGTTGCAAGGCATCATACCCTCCCTTTTATTCGCCCCCCCCCCCCCCTCCCCACCCCCACCCCGCCGCACCCCACCCTGCCGTCGACGCTCCCTCACTCACGGCGTCCATGGCGTTGCAGCACGCGCTGTTGAAGAGCCAGGCGTACGGCTGCAGCGGTATGCTGAGCTTCTACGTCAGGGGCGGCAAGCCCGAGACCATGGAGTTCTTCCGCCGCCTGAAGCTGATCGCTGCGGCCGTCAGTCTGGGCGGCTACGAGAGTCTGGCGGTGTCACCGTACGTACACCCCGGCGATGGCACACCCGGCCTGGTCCGGGCCCAGGCGCGAGATTCCGCCCGGCCAGGCACGCAGACGCACCAAACACACACACACACACACACACACACACACACACACACACACACACACACACACACACACACACACACACACACACACACACACACACACACACACACACACACACACACACACACACACACACACACACACACACACACACACACACACACACACACACACACACACACACACACACACACACACACACACACACACACACACACACACACACACACACACACACACACACACACACACACACACACACACACACACACACACACACACACACCACACACACACACACACACACGCACACGCACACAGCACACGCACAAGCACACGCACACACACACGGCAGCAGGCTCTTCGCCAGGCGGAGATGTCACTTACCGCATCATCTCACCGCGAAAGCCCAAAATTCAGATCCTGTAGGCAGGTGCTTACTCAGGGCGTGTTTTTTTTTTGGCGTCTGACATGTCAGCTCGGCATTCGTTACTCTGGGGTCCCTGTGTGCTCCCTGTTCGAGGATATGTGTTATGGCCATCGTGGTATGGTCATTGGTATGGTATGGTCATTGTGGTATGGTAATTGGTATGGTATGGCCATTGTATGGTCGTCGTGTCTGATTCGGGAATTTGGGAAGTGGAGGAAAACCTGTGTATGGAAGTGCCAGTCAAAAATAATCTGTCACGGCTATATGCCTTTCCGAAGGTGGAACGATGACAACGTCCGGTGTGAATTAGGGGGACCAATACAGTGAAGGGCTTCTTCTTTTCAAACGGAGCCTCCTGATCCGGAACAGGTATCTTCTGGACAAGGTCACGCGATAAAGGTACTTCTGATGCATAAAAAGGACATCCTGATTTATGGAGTGTGCCTGATCCTAATCCGGAATAGGTTTGTTCTGATTCACAAAGGTGACCCCGCGAGCCGGCACGCTCTCTGACACAAAATGAGGCGTTCTGATTCGAAGCGGGACTGAATAATTTATCAAGGAGGCCTTGTGATCTAGAAAAGTGGCCTCTTAATGCACAAAAGAGCCTCATTTCGGCACCTCCACGCTCAGGTGTGGGGCCTCCTTGATTTGGATTTATAGAAGTGGAAATACATGTTTTTGCTTCCTGCCCGCCCGCGGGGAGCAAAAAGCTGGACAGATTTGATTTTCATTCAATCCTTTTTGAATTGTATGCCCTTTTACTTTTTGCCATTTGAGTTTATCTCTTTAGATTTTTACCTACTTGACTTCTTCACATTCGACTATTGTCCTTCGACTTTTTTGGATTTCTTCTTTTGTCCGATTATCAAACACGATAGTGCCATCATTGCGAAAGCGCGAGTCGACGCAATTTGAGATGTGAGATCGCAGTTACCTGCGGCGTGATGACAGACTTTTAGCTGCAAGGGTCTTCAACAGTCAGACTCAAAGATGTTCGGCAATGATGCACAGTGTAGGTATGCACCTACTTCTAATGCAAGCGATTTGTGTTTGACACAGTACCATTTGCATTGGTTGATTGATATGCGAGACGTTTCTTGAGCTGAGCTTTCAAGATTCAATTCGATACAAGACACAAATTTGAAATGCTCCTCCTCGCCCAACTCATTAAGCATGCGTGAGCCTAATTATGCGTTACACTAACCATTTTTAGCCTTCTTCAATCTGCCTCACTTCGTAGGAGGGATCAGCTTCCTAACGCAATTTAATCCTGGCATGTGTTCAGATAGTCAATCCATGAAGCATGCTCATTTCCAAACGGCACCAAAGACGATAGCATCTAGGTACCAACCGCTACAAATAACACTGCAGATTTTGGCAAACCCAGCGCCCGTCGCCAATAATCTGATATCTAAATACTGTAGACATGGGTATATTGCCTTACATTTGATAAGTGGGCATTTAACAAATCATAGAGGAAAAAATACCGACTTTTGCTTTGCTGTTATTCCCGATTGATGTGACCGATAATGATGTCTTTTAACAAGCAGCTGTCTTCAAAAGGGATTCTCAGTCTGCATCCCAACACGCATCTTAGCTCGTTAGCAGGCAGTGAACTGTTTATATATCTGCGGGGAAGGGGGCTGAATAAACGCGTCGTTAACGACTGTTTATGTCTGCTGGGAGGGGCCGAATGCGTCAATGTTTTACGATGCATGTGAGTGTCTGAGCTCAATTTCCCTCCGATGCTATCGACTCTGATTAGATAAATCACCACTGAAGTGATGATGAAGGTCTGACGTTGTCTGTCTGATACGTCGGTTCACTGTCTCCCTCTGGCGTATGAGGCTCAGCTGTTTTGAGGATAAAATTTACGACGCCTAACAACTCGGAGCCCGCGGCTTGCCCTACTGGCGGCTACAAGGAAGCTGCGATTACGTGGTAAAGTAATCACGATATTAGCAAGCTCGCATCATCGTGTGGTCAAGTCTCGATTATCAAAGAGCCTCCCTTTGGCGAGGAGATCCCTCATCCGGCTCAGTTCATGCCCTCACCTAGTGCATACAGATACCTGGTCCTTCACGTTGGATGTCTTATTTGGTATGTTCGACACCTAGCCACATATCCCGGCGTTCCCTCCGCGCCCGCGAAGGCGAAGAAGGAGCATCGGGATATGCAGCAAGAAATGTGTTTCGCCATAAGATTTATGTATTCAAAAAACATTTTCAACTCAATGTGGTTTTTGCCTCTCAAAGCTGAAATGCTTCTTTCCGCCCCAGTCTGGGCCGTCCCTTTATCCGGACTCTGGGCTACAGTGTCTGTTTGGGCTTCGGGACGTTCTGTACCTGGCCATTGGGGCAAAGCAAAATTCCGAGACCACGGTTACTGGTCATGGCAAATTGTCTTCTGAACTTTGCTGAACAAAATGGGATTAGGAGATATGACGTCATTTATGAAGGTTTCGCTTTATAGCTGGAGTTTGAGTCCTTGATCAGGTTCACATTTTAGTGTATATCAAACGAATATCATCTACCCGTAAGACGGCTGCATCTTCCGATCCTTCACAACAGGAATATGGTGAAAAACAGCACACGACACAACATGAAGTTTTCTTTGGCCGAACGGTGGCTAAAAGGAGAAAGGCTCAGACCAGAGCTCATGTATGTCTTAATGTTTGCACCATGTCAACAACAGTTTTATTCCAGGCAAATTTTTGAATATGAAATCAGTAACACCGTACGAGAACATTAACCTAGTATTCCGCTAAACCACAATAGGTCTAGATTACCGCAATCGTTTTCAATCAAGGATCACAAGGAGCACAGGTAGACCACCAATCATTGACACTAGGAAATAAACGTCATGGCTTATTATGACATGTTGCTCATTACCGTATCTATACAATATGTATGTAATATGATGAAACATGAAATGAGCGGCCTCCGAACTTAGTAAAATGAAGTTTATATTATTTTCACGCGAACTGAAATGGTCCTGCCATTTATTTCTGATAAAAAAGGCTGAGGGAGTACTTTAGGATTGCTGACAATTTCTGGCTGCTGGTGTGATTTGTCGAGAAGCTGCTTTTTCGTTGAAGGGCTATTTTATTTATGCAATATTTCATCTGGACAACGCAGTAGTAAAGCCATATTCCTCGGAAAAAACCAGGAGAATGGAGATATAGTTGTATATCTCTGCGGTTTTTTAAAAACCAGGAGAATGGAGATATACAACTGTATAGCAGCAATAGCCCTATTCCTCGCAGAAAACCTAAAAATTAGGCAATTACTGGAGATTAATGGAAATATATAACTATATAGCAACAATAGCCTTATTCCCCGGAGAAAACGAGGAAAAGGGCTATTACCACTCTATAACTGCATATCTCCATTCTCCTGGTTTTTGTTGGGGGAATAAAGCTAATACTGCTGGCTTATCCATGTGAATAATGTTCTTCGCAAATGTACCGATCAACGTACGTAATATTTTATCTGTATACCATAGACAATTGCACTATCAATGCACAATTTATACAAAATCATACACCACATTGATACATAATTATGTATAACTCATGGCGTTCGCCACTTTTCACGTCGCACTTCAGACAGCATGGCACACATCAGGAAGCTGCTCACTCTTCCTAATTTGCCGAAATGAAAATAGCTGCTAGCCGGTAGGCATGGCGTGACGAAAGCTGTTAATATTACAGGATAATGTGAACAGATATGGTTCAAACCTATGGTTTTGTTCAGGAGTTGCGACTAAAAAGCCCAGGAGGTGACAAAATCCCAATCGATTGCGCTTGAACCGGCTACGATGAAAAACGCGGATCCTTTTTTGGGGTTTGAAATTTTACAATTGCACCGAGTTGAATGGTCGTAATAAGCCATCATGCGTATGAGCACCCATGCGGTGCTTCTTATGACCGATTCTAGTGGTTCTGGCCCTTTGATTCTTTGGTTTTCCTGTGACGGATATCGTAATACTGACCAAAGGGCCTCCAAAACTTGCACTGCCGAGGAGATCCCGGGCCCTAACGCACTACAGGCGAGCCGCTGCTTGTAGGGAGGCCTCTCAGACAAAGAAGCCGTTGGGGGAGGGGGAGGGGGAGTCCTGCTCATCGTCCGCTTCAGGTCTGAAGCGCAGCGACTGTCAAGCTCCTCCCAGGCGCTTTGCTATGAAGGTTTGCCGCACAGGGTCTCTGTTTTGCTAATGGGTTGTATATCAGCCGCAGCACTCATCTCGCCATGCCGAGTGTTTCATGCTAATGCGCTGTTAGCGGTTTCATAGAAATGAATTACAACTTGCGTTGTTTTTACTCGCTCTGGAGATGACGTGGTTTCACTGACTTATCGTTTCTCTCAGTGGCTTACAAATCACAACTCAGCAGCTTTGAGGCTGTTTCTGACCCACGTACTTACAATGTGTGTTTCAAAAAGCACTGAAAGCTGTCATTTTATTTTACGACGCTGCAGTACTGACTTTGTCGCAGTGCGCGCAGGTCCGTCCAGAAGTCAGACCTGGCCGGCTGGCGCCACACGTCCGTCTAGCAACCGCCCCGCGTCTGCCTACAGAATTTACACCACCCACAACCAGAACCCGAAGGAGGAGCTCGACTACCTGGGCATCACCGACAACATGGTGCGCCTGTCCGTCGGCCTGGAGGACCCCGACGACCTGTGCGCCGACCTGGACCAGGCCCTGAAGGCCGCATGCGGCTCCGGCTAGCGGCGCCGGAAACGTCGCATGTCCGTTTCTGGCGGCCCTACACTCGGATCAAGGCCGATAACGACACCGGGGCTGGCTACACTGAACTACGACTAAGGCGAAGGCAACAGCTTGCGGCGCGCGTCCGTGCCCGGCAGCCTCGCCCCACACACCCAGCCAGACCCAGTCGGCGCGCGTCCGCGCCCGGCAGCCTCGCCCCACACACCCAGCCGGACCCAGTCAGTGCGCGTTCGAGCCCGGCAGCCTCGCTCCACACACCCAGTCAGACCCAGTCGGCGCGCGTTCGAGCCCGGCAGCCTCGCTCCACACACCCAGCCAGACCCAGTCGGCGCGCGTCCCAGCCCGGCAGCCTCGCCCCACACGCCCAGCCAGAATCAGTCGCCCGGTCTGGCGGCCCCGGACTAGGACCGAAGAGCGCAAGTTTGCGTGGTTTGAAACTCAACCTCAGATCTTTTTCCTGTCCGTGCTATATCACTTCTTACATACTCCGAGACTCGTTCATCTCGTTATTTCTCAAGTGCATTTGCGAGGAACAGTATTCACATAGATAAGGCAGTAGTTGCAATGCACTACACTGCCTCGGAGAAAGCCAGGAAAATGGAGATATACATGCGTTGATATTTCGGCAGCACGCATTTATTGAAATTGCCTGTCGATGATCCCACATGATTTTTCAGCCTTTTTTGAGACATAGGGGGCCATGGTTTTTACAGAACACCAACATTCAGGGATTAAAAAAGAAACATTTGCCAGCCATTGCTACGATACGGTGCATACCTGACGAAGAATTATGATACGCAAAAATACGTGTACATGCAAACGAATTGAAATAAACAGGCATCACACACCACGCTTCATTCAAACATTCCAGCCAGTTGAAGTAAACAGGCACCACACACAACGCATCAGTCATACACGTGTCACGCGTCAGGCATCATTCACACTCTTAAGCAATTTTAAGCTAGTACAAAACACACATCAAGGTACATATCACGTTCGCATAATCGGCCATGATGAGCCTTGTACATTGTACGCACTTCAACGTACGATGCACGATGTACGTATGATTGGTCCTGTACCTTGTACGTACGTTGACGTACAGGGTTCATCATGGCCGATTACGCAAACGTGACATGTGTCTTGATATGTAATGTGTGCTAGCTTAAAATCGTTAACATGTGTAAATGATGCCTGCCGCATGATGCGCAATGCCTGTTTGACTGAAATCGCTTGCGTGCATAATTGATGCGTGATGTGTGTTTACTTCAACTCGCTTGCATGTTTGAATGAAGCGTGATGCGTGCTGCCTGTTTTCTTGAGTTCGTTTGCATGTACACTTATTTTCCCCTGTTCCAACTCTTCGTGAGATACCCAATGTATCGTAGTAATGGCTGGCAATTGCTCCTTTCATTATCCCCTGAATGCTAGTGCCCTGTAACAACTGTGGCTTGCTGTTTCAAAAAAGCTGCTAAAATCAAGTAGGATCATCGACAAGTAATTTGGAACTCGCTTCTGCTGTTGTTTCGATGAAGACATGGTGCCGAAAGATCAACGCATCCATATATCCATTCTCCTGGTTTTTCTCCGGGGAATATGGCTTTTATTGCTGTCTTAAAGCTCATTATTTTCATTCGTGATGCCATGACCGAATTATTGTGCGTAAAATGATAAGAAATTTGTTAGCATCGAAAGCAACAGGAATTCGTCATATTTCTGTCACGTGCGCAGTGATGACGGCGTGGAAAGTTTGGAACATGCTTGCCATGACGTGCTTACTTTTGACGCTTTGCTAAGAAAAGCAGCGCTGTAAGCGATGGTTTTATTTGAACTCTTGTTTGCCAACCATATAGCTGTTGACCTTTTCATCATGCATGCAGCAGCTCATCAGCATTGTGCAGTCATTGCAGTCCGTACAATAGCTCGTGCGACCACCAATGCAGTTATCTGCGAGTCCTTCCCACGATGTGCTGAAGACGTTAAAAATAGCGCTGGACGACATGCTATATGATCGCTGATGGTATCTTCTCTTTGAAGCTTCCATGCATGCGCTTTCATTGATAAGAGCTGTCAGAAATGGCATAGCTGTTGCAGGGGATCAGTAAACATAGGAACTGTGTGAGAGTTTTAAGTTACCAAAATGTGAATAAATAAAATGTCAACACAACAGTCAATATGTATCTCAAATACTTCAGTGTGGAGCTGTATGCAGCATGGTTGTTGCCCCAAAGCACGGGAGGCATCGCCAAGCTCGGGAACCCACACAAGGCCGACTACTCCCGGGTCCTGAAGCCCGACCCGACCAGCCGACCGACGGCCTGTCGTCAGCCAGCCCAGGCGTCGGTGTTCGCTCGATTCCTGACCGTGAGAACTCGACCGGAACGGTCAGAATTCAGTCAGAGCTCACTGACTGTGGCTCAGTCGCCGACGCTGACATCCTCGACGCATAGTGGTATCGAGCACCGAGTGCATTCCTTTCAGATGGGTCACTTGTAGCATGCATTAGATAGAGAAAAGCCATTAGTCAGTCGGCCGGCATGGGAAGGAACGGTTTCCAACCGCGGCTCTTCTGCAGCGGCCTGTAGCGTGAGTCCTACCGCGGAAAACCCTCACATCTGGGAGTGATGTGCGCCAGCATGCTTCGGGTTCCTCCGCCCCGACATTCGCGGTCTCCTTTGAAACGTGATCCGCTGTCGCAGGACCATGTGCAGAAGTCTGCTGCGCACGCCTGGGCACACATGCCACGGTCGTGACGCGCGGGACGCGGCCCGGAAATACGCCCGCTGCAGACGCCACGCTCGGACCCCGTCTGGTCAGCAAGGAGGCCACAGCCAGGGAGTCCAGTCCTGCGCCTGGCGCCTGGCACTAGACGTGATGCGTTCGGTGCGTTCTCACGACACTCCTTGAGAACAACTATTTGAGTATTTGTCGTAAAAATAGCAATTAAACTTGAGGACATTCCTGGCAGCGTTGTGTCTGACCAACAACCACGAATGCAATGTTTTTCAAAGAGATGTTGCGGATAGCTTGTCTGCTCTGCAAGGCCTCTTGGATCCCTCCTTCCTCACTGGGCACGCTGTAGTGTTCTGTATTAAAGTACGTAACGCAAGCACATAATTTAAGAAGACTGCCGTGACTGTTATGGTCGAGACTGCGTAGTGCGCCAGGGCAATGGTCGGTTGGCACAGGCCAGGCTATCGCAGCTAAGGCACAGGCAGCAAAGCAGGCTAAGGCCAGCATTCATGGCAGTCAAATGCTGCGTAAGAAACATGCTAATCGCTTCCTCTCCGATCGTGACATAGTCTTTTAACCGCGCTGCAAAATACAGTAAAAGATCAAACTTCTGCAGCAAATCACAACGCCATGAACATCTTGCGAAATTACTTTCCTCCAAACTTGTGGTAGGCTGAGTGTCACGGGTCACTGGGACTATTGGCCCTGGCAGCACTTAATGGAGGTGTAAACAGCGTCTCCACATGGCAAGGCAATGTTGAGTGTAGCCTTAAGGCGGGGATCGAGTCTCTCTTGTTAACGTGCGTGGCGTCCCCTGTTTCGCCATAGATCTGTTCTGCGGCACCAGCTGCCGAACAATATTTAAATTTTAGGTCAAAAGGACCGGAAAACGCGAACATGCAGGAGTCAGGAGTTGTACTAAGTCCAGGAAGTATCGGGAACATTTGTTCCAGAGCTATGCTACGGAAGTAACCTAAGCGTATGTTTATAACCTCACGGTTTAACCAGTTACCGGACTTATCTGGCTGTTTTTTCTGAGTGGCGGGGAAGACCGTGCGCCATATAGCTCGCCACACAGTTGCTTCCGCAAGCCAAGCATTTCCGAGTGTCGCGAACTTTCCTCCAAGATGCCTGAGAGAGCATGTTGTATCAGCTATGTATGGGGCACGCTGTATCAGTGATGAAACGTACTGACAATGATGTGATTGATTGGCAATGATGTGATCGCTTGGATTGACTGGTGAACTTCATATGCGGAAGAAAGACCTTCAGCACCGGGTTTTTCGGCATTATGAGTTCAGAATCATCATGCTAAGTCATCGACCTTCAATATACCAGGAGGCACTGGGTTAGCTTTATAGTACAAATATTGGTTATGTTGATAGTATTCACTGTACCCACTGTGTTACCTACTGGGATTCACTGTGCTGACTCACAGTAATCACCGTAGTAAGTATTATCGATGTAGCCAATGTTTGCGCGCTACGGTTGAATCAGCACCTCTTGGCATACTGAAGTTCAATAACTCAGCATTAGCATTCTGAACTCACAATGATTGACAAACCATATTTCATCTGCACGGCAGACGTGTTATAACTTAGTCCAATGCGGGTAAAAGGACGCACCACGGCCTGCCTTCAGGCTATCCCATAGACCGTCGAGCACCAGCGCTGAAAATACCAGACCATAGGAAAGAAAGCCGGAAGAGATCACTCGTTTGTTTAGCACGATGTCTGATTTTATCTCGTACCCAATGTTCATGGGATGGATGATATTGTAAGCAAACCAGTTGATCTGTCTTTAAACCGTTTGCTTTCATAACGTGGCGCTGTCGCATGGAAGCTACCGAACATCTGCGTCGAGGCTTGTGATTATCTATTCGTGTGACTCAACCAAATAACACCGATGAACAATCAGCGACTGGGCGGACGGCAGGCGGACCTTAAGAGCCGAAAAGATGAGGCCCTGGTATTGAGGTGGCGGGTGGGGGAACCCCAGCTGCTTCCCGGACGCGTCCCACCCTGTCGCGTCTGGCCGGCCGACTGTCTACATCACGGGATGTCACTCCGCGGGACCGGCCGGCGGTCCGGCGGTCCGACGGCCGCGGTCCTGTTACACAGCCGTAAAGCTCCCTCCGTATCCCTGTCCAAACCGCAACCTTAGCCGGCCTTGTGTCGCGAGCCCCGAGTGCGTCGAACAGCGGGTATCGCCTGCTGAATTTCCGGGGCCTCGTAACCTACGAAAGGTTGGTCTCACCACCGACTACCGATCGCTGTTTGTGGGAGTCAATTAGAACAGCCTCAAGCTTCGGCTTTTACAGACCTCATTAACGCCGAGAAATATCAAGACAC